CCCACACCCCACACCCACCCACATTTGAAAAAATATGCCCATGGTATCGGGTTTTGTTACTGTAGCTTCAGCAAAATGTAGTGAGACATCTCGACTTCTACTACTAGATAAAAAGTTATTAAAGAATATAAGTCCACCTTTATTTTTTCTGAGCTTGTCGAAGTCGGCTGTTGATGATCCTTGTCCTCGAAAAACTTGAAATGCCTTCCCATGGCAAAGACTGATCTGTTTTTTGCGCAAACTTTCAATTTGCCGGTGTAGATCACAAATGAAAAATTCCATTTTCATAATCACTCCGGCTTTTAGCGTTCGAAGAGACCAATTGAGCGTCTCGTAAAGGAAGCACTCATGACTGTACCCCCACACTGATGATTGTGGACAATAATCACGTTCAAACTGAGCGATATCCTTCAATTTTGTGGAATTGTTGATGTATTCATTACGCCAAAATTGAATAAAATCCTTCATGGATTGTTTGTCATGTTCCATACCTAGGAGAACTTCCTTGAATAATTGAGTATACATAAATAAAGGTTCCAGTTGATCCAGATTTTGACCGGAACCATCATGATCTACACTGGCAAAGCTGACAAAAATCTCATCTCGATTATATTGTTTTGTGGTCACTTTTAATGTTTTCCAAATGGACGCGATGTTCGTATATACACCCTTAACTTTCTTCCAATTGTTTGTCCAATCTTCTGGCAAAGTTTGGCTGCTGCAATGGATGTAAATGCTATCCAGTTCAGAAATATCATGGAACAGCGGTACTATTTGTTGGCCCATAGTATGCGGTAGAATGAGAAATGCCTTTCAGTCATCGACTTGAGTGAAGAAGTCAATACATTCATCGCGTTGTGTGATGGTAAAGATATCATTAGCTACTCGTTGCAGTTGTTCAAGTGTATTTTGGTAGCCTTCATTTGCTGGATCGAAGTTGCTATCAATCCAGATGATCAAATAATTTTCAGTGATGCGCCGTCTTGGTCGTACGGTAGTCGGTGACACTGTTGTATTTGCAGTGGTATTCGGAGTTGATTTAGAAATATTTTGTTTTGCATTTTGTGCACTCATATTCCGTATGAATTTTTGTCTGCTGATCAATTGAGAATGCTGAATCATTTTTTGCTGTTTCAAGAGAGTTCTTTTTTTCTACTTATTCGATCACTGCCTTTTCCTGTTTTTATAATTTTTCTACGACGCAAAATGTTGGCGCTCTTTTCTTGGTTGACACTCAACGACAAGCTGCACCGAGTTTCAATAGAAAAATATGATTGCTAACAATGAAGGAAAGAGAAAAAATCTAACAACACTATTCGTTGCATTGTTACTCTTCCAACTTTTGCTTTAATCTCATCTGTATAATAACTTGAGTACCGTCACGTTAGATACCTTGCAATAAACATTATTTATTTTTTCTTTCATTCTTTCCAAATGAGTTTCTTCGCTTTCTGGATTGCTGACTCAACGTTTGATTCATTAATTTTGGTTTAATCTTGATTATGGGTGTGGATGTGGGTGTTATTGCGAGTGTTTTGTTTCTACATCTACATCTACACCCACATCCACAAACCCACACCCACACAGCCGCACCCACATCCTATTTAGCTATTATTATTCCATAGGTTTAATCAATATAGGAGTAATCCGGAGTTAAACAATGGACTTGAATTTACAATATTTTTAGCAAATAAAATATTCAGTCTGGATAGCTCTCTGTTTTTAATAAATGTCCGTGAAGTCGATATGTGAAGAAGGCATATCTGCTTAATATTTTAATAAACAGTTAGATTTAGCTCATGAATGTAACATCAATTTAGTTGCTACATAAACTTCAGTACATAAGTGGAACGACCATTGGCAATTTACTCAATAATTTATTCGTTAAAAATTGTAACATTGAAGTCTTCTGTATACTGTATAACAATGTTTGCAATGTCAACAAATGCAGCTTTAATAATAATGAAATTGAAAATCTCACAGTTGCCGATTCAATTTCTTCGCTTACTTTATGTCAAGTTAATTTTTTGCGAGCTCTTTCTATATTTAATGCAACACAATTCTGAAAATATTTGAATGATGCATAAAAAAGTTTTTTTTTATGCTGTTGTCTTCTGTCCAAGAACAATATACATTGGATCTCGAAATTCACCATCTCTAGCTGGCAAAAAAATATTATCAAAAAATGAGTATGCTTTCACTGGCTTTGGATCAAAATATATGTTCGTCGATAAGAAGTAATTTGCGACCCATTCAACACGCTGTTGTTTATTCATCTTCATCCATCTTCCAATAACTTTTGTTGGAAAACAACGATTAGAAAACGAAGTAATAAACTGGCCACTTGGTTTTACTATACGTCCAATTTCATTGAATACCTCTAACGGATAAATAAGATAATCAACAGAAAGAGAACAAAGAACCAAATCAAATGAATTAGAAGGAAATTTTTTGAGAGATGGATTTGAATTTAAATTTTGAACGGTGTAACCATTGTTGAGAGATGGATTATATATTAATTCAGATTCGTTCATGCCGAGACCATGAACACGGTCTACAGAGTAGAAATAGATTCTAGTAATTTTTATCTCAACTCGAATGCACTTACCAACAATATTTTCTGGCAAATGTGAGGTCCATGATGAACATAAATCTAATATCATTGTCTCTTTTGTTTGTTTGACTACATACGTATAGAATTGAGATAAAACATAACGTGCACGATCATCAATATGATGTACAAAACGCGGTATACTATAGAATTGTTAATCATCTGTTTCATCTTCACGAATTAAATCAGAAGATGGATTTATTGCAACGATTTTTGGTGATGATGGTAGAATGTTTTTTAGACGAGCAAAATCAATTTTTGAATAGACGGTTTTAGAAAAGTCGTATGAAGAAGATGATGATGAGGCGGTAGCCATCTGAAGTGAGTTTAGAAAATATTTCAGCATCCAGAAAGATCTACACTCTAAATTGGAAAAAGAAAAGACGTTTGAAAATCTCTCACATTTCTGAAATTACTTCAAAATTCAGAAATCAAATCATGTGCATACTATATACGACATTGTTCTTCGACACTAGTTTACTTTAGATACAGGAGAGAAAAGAAAAGAAAAACTGCTGGTTGAAAAAGTAACCAAAGAAATGGACAGAACGAACAAATAAAAAAGAATGACAAGACATAGATGGCTATGGCAAATAGATGACAGTAGAATGCGATACAAGGACAAGACGATTGATAGCCAACGTTTGATCATCAATGAGTTGAAAATAGGACTTGGCGATCGGCATTTATTGAAACGACCGGATAAAATGACAATGAAATTTTCCGCACAACTTGAATGATAATAAAACTTCATTAAAAAATGAAGTGTTCTTTCAAGTTGAAGTACTTTTCAAGCAATCGTTTCGTTGATATATTATTCAACTAAACAAGAAACAGGCACATGAAGAAGAACAGCAAAATATCAACACGAGAACTTACTATTGATTCTTCGGTAATATATTCAAAAAAATAGAGACATGACGTTGTAATTTCACTGATTAGATTTGGTCGGCTCAGAATTCTTTTTCTTTCTCCTTTTGATATTGTGTATGAATTGTACGAGTCAACAAGTTCAAAATTCGAGGATGTGATTGAAGGAAGATAGGTGTTTGTTTGAAGGTGTGCAAAACTAAACAGATCGATTTGAATACAGTCTGGTTGAAAACAAGGTCGAATTTAACGTGGATAGGTTTTAAACCACAAACCTTCATATTCCGTTTGAAATTGTAATCCAAATATAGCAAAGAGATAATGCATCTGATTGGAAGTAGATGCTGAGTATGTTCGACTGCACAATGGTTCGAGAAGTTCAACGAAGAACTTACGTTGAATGACATTGATTATACGATCAGATGATAAATATTCATAGACATCATCTAATTTCTGAGACATATTGATAAAGTTGGGTGTGGGTGTGGGTGTCGCTGTTCACTAAAGTCTCTCTCGACCCCACACCCACTCACACCTATACTCCATACCCATCCACACCCACACCCACACCCACACCCATACCCACACGCACACGCACACCCCACACCCACCCACACCCACACCCACACCCCGAGTGGACACCTCTATCTAATACTATATCAGTAGCCATCGGAAAAGCCTTTCGACGTGGCTTCGAAGAGATAACTATTGATGGAATGTATCGAATTGATTTTACCTACTTCGTACTAGAGCATGTTGACGAAAGAAATCGCAAGCAACGAATTCGACGACAACAACGTTATCTGGAATCATCAATCTCTCGTGACGAAAAGATCGAAGATGAAGCTCGACGTTGTGAACGATTCTTGTGTCGTTTAGGGTTAGTTTCAAGCTGTAGTGCAGGTGTAGATACAAATTATTATGGCTCACCATTTATTGCCCAATGGTACTTGTCGTTCACCGAGGGAAAACGGGATATTACATTCAATTCTATTTTTCCTGTTCTTCTACAAGGTTTGTGCGAAGAAGGACAATCTGAACCAAAAAATGTAGTGCGAGATATCGTGGATGCTTTGAATGAGATCAGAAAGAAAAGTATTAAGTTAAAAGAGAAGAAGAAAATGGAAATGTTGGAAGATTATTGTGTTAAGCTTTATACAAAAGCATGTTTTATCTTTCGCATAGTCAACCTCGCATTGCGTGATGATGATCGTACTAAACTGTACACTCTTGGACCGTACTGCTTTCTTGTTTACAACCACATCGGTCGATATATCATTGATGATTTTTCGATTCATCATCGTTTTCAACAAACTCTTCGTCTAACTGGATCTCGATCAATGACTGTTTATCGCGGTGATTATATGTCTCGCGAAATTTTAGAAGAATATCGACAGGTGACTCGAGACCATTCCAAATATTTCAAATGGCTCTCATTTGTTTTTACTTCACTCAACCAGGATGTTGCCGAAAAGTTTGCACAAAATGGTCTGTACATTATTGGACTGCAGCAGTCCTTATCGAAAGATCAATTTACAGACTTGTCGAAAATCAGCTATTTTGACGAAAAAGAGATTCTGTTACGACCAGGAGTACGATTTCAAGTAGTCAGAGTAGAATTTGATGACATCAAGAATCTACACTTAGTGTACATTACCATTATTCCATCGTATGTGTCCTGTTTGAGATAACTTTTTGGTTTCATTTGTACAAAAGATCAAAATACAAATACAATCTCAAATTATTGGGGAGTACTTTAAAACTTCGGAATGTAATACTTCGCGTGTATTGAAAAGAGCGATAGTGATACTATATTGCCAAGTGTAAAGTTTGAGAGAAATTTCTGTTCACATGTAATTATTTGTAGTATTAATAATGCACTATGGTATGAGTGTGGGTGTAGATGTGGATGTCGGGTGTGGGTGTGGATGTGGATGGATTGACAAAGATACTATAATCCGCACCGACACCAATACCCACACCCACATTCACACCCACACGCACATCCATACCCACACCCCCACCCCCACCACACACCTTAACAGTTACAAGAACATATTAATCTTTCTAATTACGTATAACTACGCTACGCAATAATATTTAGTTTAAGATCAAGAAAGAAAACGAACAAGAGTTGTTCGATCAAAGAGAGAACGAAAATATAGACGGAAAGCAAAAGAACAACGCTAGAGAAAATACCTAACAGAACGAAGAGAATAATATATATAGTTAGCATATATTTGTATGGAAACAAAGACAGAAAATGACCATCATGCAACATTTATTTTATGACACATCATGGGTGCCATAACAGTTTCTTAAGTTAAATGATTTTTTACACTTTTGTGTATCCAGATACTGGAACTTGTCGTATGACACGTTCGTTCATCATTTTTGAAGTAAGTATAAAATCAATGGAAGTAGCAGTGGTTGCACAAGGAATATTGTATACTTCAGCTAATCGAACAAGTGCTTCGATATCGGCTTCATGAGGATGGGCACTTAATGGATCAATGAGAAAGATAAGTATGTCAAGCTCACCCGTTGCAATCTTTGCTCCTAACTGTTGATCACCGCCCAAAGGACCACTATTAAACTTTGTTACCAATACATTGAATTCTTTCTCAATCAACGATCCTGTCGTACCTGTGCCATAGAGTTTGTGTTGAGCAAGTACATTGCGATGTTTTCTAAGGCATTCGATGAGTTCTGACTTTTTTGCATTATGAGCAACAAGTGCAATTCGTTTGTGTACACCCATAATTCTGATTCCAGTCATGTTCTGAAAATTTTTACATTGTTAGACACGTACTTTTTTTTTCTATCAATATAATCAGGAACGTACATTTTCTACGGTTGTTGCTTCATTCCTAGTTGCTTTCTGTTCGATGACTTGATAGTAATCAGCAAGATGCCGATCTTTTGCTCGATTTATAATAAGGTTAGTCAACAATGAATTTGATCTGCTAGTGCAAAGTAAATCTGAATCTAAACAGATGCTTGAATGAAATATAAGATAAATGTTTGAAAGACTTACTCTTTGGGTCAAAATATTCAGCGAAGGCTTGCTAAAATAAAAGAATAAAGGTTATATTTCTTGATAAGTATAATCATCATTGTTCTTCTGTATGTTGCTTATGTTTCATAGAAAATACGAGGTATGGAGTAGTTTCTGATAGAATGCGGTACAGAAGGAAGACGAAGAAGAAGAATAACCTTGTCTTTCGGCTACCTTTTAACATAGAGTGTTGTCTAAGGGCAGTTTTGAAAGCCCGATATTTTTCCTACAACTATTACTAGTTGTAGCTCTGGGCAGAAGGCTAGTCTGACTCAGAGTTCCTCCCGCTTAATTGCTTAAGCTTTCCATGCATGCTGACTAACGACATACTAGCCACAAGAACTTCTTGTGTATGTCATCAACGTAGACAGTGTGCTATCGGACGGGTGATCCGAGACAAACAGCCATTAGTGACTTGTCCAAGGTCATTCTGTGTCTGATGGCGCCGAGGTTCGAACACACTATCTTGTGAATATGTGTCAAACATCATAACTATTCAGCCATACCGACTATGCGGTACAGAAGGAATGGTCGACGCGTTCCATTCTAGATTATAAAATATTCGAGACACTTTGAACAAAGAACGAGTGAAGGGAGGAAGTGTAATCATGAATGATTCTACCGTCTATATAAAATAAATGGCAAAGCCAATCGTTGCATCGATCGGTTACGTTTCAGGACACATAATGCATTAGCTCACCAGCAATATCTGAAAGTTTTCGCTTAGAAAGATCTTGGGAAGTACAGTGAAAAATTATATTAGGACTTGAATTTGCGCAACACTAGTTTCCGTATTGTTTTTACGGCAACTAGACACTGATTCAAAAGTGTTCTGTTTTAATTTCTTGGAACTTCAATATTTTCAAGCAAAAAAAGCCAAAGTACAACACGTACTGTTAAAAAAACTAATTTTCATTGGAACTAACATCTATTTACCTTCAATACAGTATCAATTTCTTAATAGAAACGATATCTAGTACTTTTAAAAATATAATTTCACATCAGTACCATAAAACATAACATACCGTAGAAACAAAGATTATTCTGCACTTTCTTTTCGAACAAATAATTCGAAAAAAAGATTAAAAAAAACCAATGCGAAACACAAACTTTCACATAAACCATTATTTTTACTTCTTTAACAAAGTTGGTTAAAACTTCAACATGCTTAGTTGATTGTAAGGGATCATAATATTTGTTCGACCTTTTCAAGCAGCGTGACATCACGATGATTAGGAGACGACTAGGATACGTATTTAATTAATGAGGCATGGTCAGATTTTTCTCTAAGTTTTTTATTATTACGTGTTTTCATAAAACTACTAACTCATTATCAAGATCTTTGGTTCGTATAACATTTGGTAGAAGACATTGAGAGACTGATAATAATCGAAAAAACAACGACGTTGAAAAGTTGATATATTATTACCGAGAACGGAGTTCATAACATTGAAGAGTGAATCAGGAACTAGCGCTTCAGACTTGTCGAAGTAACGCTCGGCTATGATAGTTGTGATGGCATAGCAAACGTGGACTAATTTTTTTAAGCCTATAATCTTTTCATTCATATTGTGTTTTCTCTCATCATACTATTTGTGGTCATGTTATTATTCAAGAACTTTTCGAGTGATTACGTTTTTGCATAAGTTTCCTGAGTTTCAATGCACTGGTCTTTCACTGTTTTCTGTTCTATAGAATATTCTTTCTTGTAATAACTATTCTTAAGCAGTAGAAATATTTTGAGACTCTTTAGATATGATCAAAAAGAGCAATGCGATAACATCTGGTAGAGCAGTTTTTTGTTCTTATATCATCCTATGTTGTAGGTTAGGAAGTTTAGCGTGAAAAACTTTCCAAAAAGCGCATTGAAAGTTGTTTCCTTTATTGAAAATCCTCAGGTAAAGATGAATACTGAATAAAATATTTTCAATTTATTCGATTCCACCAATCCATAGATGTCTGTTTAATGTTATGATAAAAAACATTTCGACACATTCCGTTATCTAACCTCTACGTGTCGTGTTTTGCCTATTCTTTGCTTACTCGTTTAGATATTTAATAAACACATACTGATAAACTAAAATTTGCAATAGAAAAGTGCTAATTAAATGAATCACTCACCTGTAAATTCCATCCATTTCGATTTAGAAATTTATTTGAATCATCAACACCGCAAAGGGTTAGAAACTAGTACAAATTAAACAATATATTGTAATTAAGTTCTACATAAGTTTGAAACTTTACTTGAAAGAGCAGAAGAGTTGCTTCATGTGATGGCAACATTGATCTATTATTAATAGCTAGTCAACAAATAGAATGAACTAAAAAGAAAAGAAGAAATAAGATGAAGATTTTTCTTTTATACTAGCGAGAACCCGTGCATACTGTACGGCTGTTTCCTCCTTTAACGTATGACCTGAGACTTTTAACTTTTCATCCAGTAACAGACATACAGACACCCGATATTATGTATATAGATAGATATTCATACGACCTGGTACTCTCATACCGCACATATTTTTATAGTTCAGGTAGCCTTCGGCCTTATAGCCTTATATTCCTTGTACCTCTTGTAGCCTTATCTCCTTATTGCTTTACCCCTTATTACCTATTCCCTTACTGCCTTACTCCCTTGAGAACCTATGGGTACCCCATATAGTCGGCCTTGAGGGCTCTGGGTACCTCCATATAATAGCCCATGAAGACCTATGAGCATTCCAATATAGTAGCCCTGGGCGCTTTTCCCTTATAGCCTTATTTGATTTTTAACCTTTGACCCGGCACAGAGAAACACACAGACACTGAACAATATATATATAGATGTGAAAAAACCAGTCAAAGAAACATTAGTAGTCATATTTCGTCGTAGAGCTTCTATAAATAAAGCTTACGAAAATTTGCTATCAACCACAACGAGGAAATTTTCAATGGCCAAGTATATATACATATACATGCCTGTGCAATAGAAAAAGTTGAAAACGAGGTTAATCCCCTAATTTTGAACAAACTTTGATATATACGAAAACTTTTTTCATTATTTCTAAAAACGGTACTTATGATGCAGGCATTGTACTGTTTGTGAAAATCTAAAAGCTGCTGTCTAAGTAAATCATTACAATTAGAAGAATCATTATTGGTATTCGATATTCTGATATGATTCTTTTCATCATGTAAAATAGTTATCATATATACACTTGAGGTTAAAATAGTGAATACCTTATGGAGATCTAAAGGCATGGATTGATCGAGAATGAAAATATTCGAATGCTCTTCAATAATCAGTTGGTAGAATAATGATTTCATCACCCTAGTGAAAGTAATCGGCTAGTGAGTACTCAAAAAATCGTAGTTCATGAAAATTTGAAAAATTCAGGTATTAAATGATGGTTACATGTGTAGGTTGGCTGCCATGACAGACTTTCTACAAAAAGAATAAAGAAAGAGAAAATTAAAAAAATCTGAGAACGCTCCTAAACTCGCAAACTAAGCGAATATATCAGATATGGCTGGTACCGGTGGCTTCAGCATGCTTGCATTTATGAAGAGCGATGATTACAACGTAATTCTAACGATTTTGCAAGGGTTTAAAAATATTCACCCTCTGTGATATGAGAAAACATTCACCTGGAGAACTACGCTTAACCGTCGGTTTTGGACCAGTTCGGACGACAAGGGTTGTATTATTGAAGTTTTGAGAATCTTTATGACAGCCTTCTTTTGACGTCTTCAGTAGAACTTCATATATGTATTACTTAAAACTTGAATTCAACTATTCACCTATTCAAATATTCAATTATTCAGCTATTTAACTATTCAAGCTTTCAACTATTCAGCTATTCAAGTTTTCACCTATTCAATTTTTACTTCTCAAGTGTTCTATGAATACTCAGTGGGGAAGCGCTTTGTCCCATCTAACACATCTTTTATTTCAGTGTTGTGGCATTAGAGCGCGAAGTGCGCCCGAGAAGCTGCAACTCATGTACTTAATGCTTGTAGCATTCTGGAGAATCTCTGTAGAATTCCGGACAATACCTGTTGATGTTAGGTGATTCTGGTGGTATTTTAGGTGTTAACTAATTGAAAAGTTGACTACTTAAATTGTTGAACGAATGGTTGAATAATTGAATTTAAGTTTCAAGTTTGACACTACTG